TAGGTACTTTTGCAGTGCTTGACTGTACAAGAATTTACAAATGACACTGAACCTGTAAGAATCTGCCTTTAAAACAGCTAGTGACTTTAGTAAACAATTTCCTAAATTTGTATTGTCTCTTTAAAATTAACTAGAAACACAGGTCATGCCTTTCCTTGGTCCCAGGTGTCTTTTGTAGATGTGAAAGAAGAGAAAGCCCCTATTTTTCTCTCCTTTAACCCATTGCTTCAGTTTCTAATTCATAGAAAGACAAAGTTGCAGATTGCTGGCTGCCACAGGGGGCTTTTCTGCTGTCTTGCTAATTCCAGACCATAGACCCTCCTTGATTATGATAGAGGGGCTGCCGCATTTTCCTCGCTCTACCTCTGAGACCTTGTCCTCACTCCCCCCACCACGCAAGTGTTCTACCTTTGAGTTCCAGGGTAATTTCTTTTCCTTCTGTGGTTGGAGACTACAGCTAGAAAAAACTATAGACTGTTGTTGTAGAGTTATACCTTAGATGGGGAGTGGCATTTACTAGCGTTCTGTGATTTTTTTCCCCAAAGGTGTTATATTCTGTACCTGACTGGACACTTAGTACCTACAGTTTGACATGGGGGAATGTCTTAGTCTTCTGACTACATTTTCTGTATGTAAAGTTGTCTTACCCTGTCTTTGGTTTTCCAGGATAATCTTTTTGGGGCTAAAGTTGCTAAAAAGCAGACATCATCTCTGCTAACTCCAAGTCAAGAGAAAACAAAGCTCCCTGAGCCCTCCAAGAAGAAAGCATCGGCCTTATTGTTCAGCAGTGATGACGAGGTGCGTGCAGGTCTCTCGTAAAGAAGAGAAGAGGTTGTCTGATGGGATTAGAGAGTTGTGGTTGTCCAAAACCCGTTTTTTGGCAATCTGTTTTGTACCTAGTGAAGTTCAGTTGTCAAAGACTATGTTCACAAGACTATTTCTTTTCTTAAAGTTATTTAGTAGAGTATATTAATTTACAGATTAATCTTTTCACAATGGTTAGGAATAAATATAGCCCTGAAGCTGTATACTCGTTGCTGTTGAGTTGATTCCCGCTCATAGTGACCTTATAGGACAGAGTAGAAGTGCCCCAGATGGTGTCCAAGGATAGCTGGCTGATTCGAATTGCCGACCTTTTGGTTAGCAGCAGAACACTTAACCATTGTGCCACCAGGGCTTCCCCAAACTATATAGTATATGGTAATTCAAATGAGTTAGACCTTATTTTATCTTGTTACATGTTTTTTGCATTTCATTAATCTAGAGCTATAGCTAGACGTGGTAGGAGTGTCCTGTGCAAGTTTAACTCCTTCATAGACAACAGTATTTCCATTTGCCCTCTGGGTACATATCGGCAAAATCAATGGTGAATATGATTTAGCCTCTTCAAATTTAGCTGTATAGAAAAAGACTTCAAAT